CTGCTGACCTTCCTGTACCATCTCTATGTCCACATACATAGGCCATCCTTTCACCACTGCAATCAGTTATAAATAATAACTAATAATAAATAAAACTAGTGGATTAATATTAGGCCTGTCACGATAAAGACTATATTGATTCATTGTTCAATATATGAAATCTCATATATATAGATAATATTATTTCAGTTTAATTATAATTATATTTTGAGACTCAGTATTAATCATGTGTACAATTTCTTTGACATTGTGGGGATATTTTTATGTAATAACGTAAGATTTGAGCTGTAGACGGCTGAATAAATAACTTTTGCGGCCAATTATTAGTTACATACTGGAATTTATTTGTTGCAGTTTATGTCTTTTAATGATACAGTATATATAAAAACGGCTCATCAAGTTTAACCTGCTTTATTATTATTGTGTAAGTGGCATAAAGAAGTCTCATATCTATCATCTACCATTGCCAAGTTCTTAAAAAGTAAAGTCAAAATGGGGCAGGCCTATGTACTTGAACCTGTAAGCAGAGAGACAGGCCCCAGGACGAAGTGAGAAAGTAGGTCGTGACCATAGACTGTGGTAATTTATTCTTTGAACTATATGCAATTTCTCTGAGATCCATTTCCTCAGAATTACATAACTGTATTCTTAGAATTTAAACACATTTTAAAGTTGATGCTGAATTCAAGCTTTTTACAATCTATAGTCTGAATATTTGGTTACAGTGTTCTACCTGATAAAGTAGTATGTTGCAAATCAAGCAAGGAAGTGATATCTAATTTCATGTGGTCATATGAAAACACAGGATAAGCCTATCCTATTTTTCTCCATAATCCAAAAATGAGAAAAACATATGTATAAGATATGTATTTTCCACACTGCTGGAACTTGATGCACAGTTTTGGGAAAAGGATTGTGATTAGATTTGGCGTTACTGTTAAATCAGGTTCTCAGAGCATATTTTAAAGTTATACAGGGCAATGTTGTCACAATACTCTTTCAAACTTGATTTCAATGCCAAGACTTGATGCTCAATACTGATTCTGATACCACAGTTATAAAATACTCTTTATTTAGACACTAGAGTGCCATTTTCAGCAATAATAATAGTGCTTTCTTTTATATTACCATGTGGCCTTATATCCGTGTAATCCCTCTGTCATCCAGGTATGTTCCACGTGGCCCATGGGTGTTTACTAATCTATGTGCTCTTATACCCACTATGATACAGCTAATCACAGCTAATCAGCTTTTAGATGTTTCTACAGCTATTCAGGAAAGGTTCAAATTACTATCTGATTTTTTATATTTTTGACAACCATAATCCAGGGACAAATAAAACAAATGCAAGAACCACATTTTGTACATGTTGGTTAGTTTTCCCCACATGTTGGTTTGTTTTCCCCACTAAAAAACAAAATATTTTGTCTTCGAGAGGGAATTGTGTTACTTAAATTGCAATTTTTATTATTTGCTAAATGCAACTTTAAAATTGTGATATTGATTCAACTGCAATTTATCTACCCAACATATTTTACCTGTTAACTGCAATTTAAGTTAAGTGTAGTTTGCATCTCATATTGCACAATGCCACTTCTGAACCCAACACTTTTGCTGATGTTGATTAATGACAATAGTCCGTTTACATACAAATACTTTTCCATTTCTAGTTAGTACCTCTGCCGTGAAGACCCTCAGGAGATTTTGTTGAGTGAAGCATTCAAAGCCCTGATCAATATTTCCGAAGGGATCAATAGGTCATTAAGCTGAGTGTGCTCGAAAGATCACACGTTTTACATAACATCACTATGCACAGCCCTGTTCCACTGACTTTAATCTGCTCTGGACAAAATGAAGAGATTTTGGGTTACCAAGGTGACAGACTGAACATGGAACATTTAAACATGACTCAAAGGGAGGATAAAACCTGGTGGATCACTTCCCAGTTCCTCATACCATCATCGTGTGCTGCCCAACTGCATGACATCACCACATACATGAAGTCATCCACATATCCCTGCAATGCTGTCTCTACACTGAGTGCTCTGACAGACAGTCTCCACTTCGATGTGGTTCTAGCCCATCGCAGTGGAGATTGTCTATGTAATCTCCCCTGTGTAATTTTTTTTTTAAAGTAAATGTTGCATGTTAAAGTTATAATGCACTATCCAGTCGGCTTGGCGATGACAAGATACAGTTACAGCGCTTCATTTTGGAATAATATTGTATGAACAATTGACTTAAAATCACCACTAGTACAAAATATTTAAAGGTGCACTGTGTAATAATCCTAATGGAGGGTCCGCCACCTGATGTCCCCATGGAAATGCTACTGCTTTGACTAGGACTATGTTCCACAGTACAAGTAAGTTACAGCACTATGCAACATTACAGATCAGATCTGTGGAGAGTCACCCGTATTCACAGAAGGAATCTGTGTATTTTTGAGCAACAGAAACACCCGTAATGAATAAATGCTAGATGGATATGCTTAATAGATATCCTGGAATGTTTCATGGAGCATAAGAAATAATATCTCCATGGAGCCAAGCAGGTGTCATACCCTCGACCAGAAAAGTTGCACAGTGCACCTTTAAGTTTTGTGCTAAACTGGCTTTAAGTACATGTACTTTATTTATTAATATGAAAGGAATTGTCCGTTTGATCATGTTGAGCAATAAGTCAATAAAATCCTCTTTAGGCCTTCTCTGGACATTCACACAGCAGGTCACTAATACCTTAGGTAGACCATTCAGTGTGGCCACCTCACAGTTCCCAGCATGCAACAGCCCACTTCAGCTGCTTCCTGTCTGCCTACCTCCTGTCGCACAGAGGGAGGCAGTAAAAATCACAACATATCACGTACAACTGACTCAAATACTGCACAATGACAGTGACACCAGATATACTTTAATGCAAACATGATGTAACTGCAAAGTCAGCACTTGATGGATCCATATAGCAGGAATGTGTAGCACAAGTCAAGACCTGGCTCAGTCCATGATTTTGAAGTTTGAATTTATACATGTTTACCTGTGTGCCCAGAGCCTTCTCTCATAAATCATCACATAAATGTCTTTCTTTGAGTTATTGCTTAGCCTAGCATGTTCCATAGTATGGCATTAAACAGGTGACACACTATGGCTTTGTAGAGGAGACCCTGCTCACATTATGAATGCACGTTTTTTCAAAACAAATGATGTTATAATGTTGTTACCTCATCATAAACATACCTGGAGTTATGTTTTGTTTCACACGTTTGAGTAACCCTTATTATTAGTCTGTCTGCCTATCCAAAGCTCAGAGTCCTCTGTTCCACCTTGTGATGTCATGTAGTGGTAGTTTTCAAGTTAACAGATTTTACATTTTGTTCAGTAAAGATTGGCAATTCCAGGACTGAAATTATCTAAATGATTCTAATGAAGGTGTACAGAGTTTCAAAACAAAAGGGGAACTTCTGTTTTCCGTTTGGGAAAAAAACTCCACCTAAATATGCAGGGTTTCTGTGTAAAACATGTGAGAATGAAACAAAACACAACTCCAGGTGTGTTTCTGATGAGGAAACATTATAACATATCAGAAAAAAGCTAAATATCGGCCCTTTAAAATAAATGTGAATTACATATTGCATCTTCAAATATACTATGTAAAGTGTAACACGATTCCTCATGCACACCAAATGTTGCAAAGGTAAAATCAATTGCATAGGTTTTAGCCTTTGAAGAGTTACTGATGCCAACTGTAGTCTGCTAAGCCTCCTGAGAGTAAGAGAGAGATTATCCCCTCTGAAGTCTTCACTGGACAGAAATAATGAGTTATTGCACTAAGCAGGTGATTTCTTGAGTCCTGACTTTTTAGCGTGCTACCATCTCAAATGTACAGAGCAGACCTATGTACTACATGTACTAAATATGATCAAATGTGAAATCCTTTTTGGCTTTTGAGCATGGTTCCTCCTTGGCATCGATTGGGCATATGAACCTTGTGACCACAGACTGTATAAAGAAGTGGACTAAGGGATTGTGAGGTCACCCACAGCGTTCAGTTTCAGTCAAATGAAGCTCACGAGGCTAGCAATTGTAGGGGCGAATTTGTAGCCAGTTCCATTTTAGGGATAGGGATTTATTTACGGAAAAAAACAACAGCAGGACCATGTAGAACAGGTTGATACGACCAGAGAGAGCTGACAGTTTTTCAACTTAAATTCAAGTGGAGCCAGAGTCGATGGAGCCGGAAGCACCCCCATGCTCACTTCTAAATTGAAATGTCTATGCTTGTGACTAAGAAGTACTGAATTAGATTTTCAATAACGCATTCATCTGCAACCATTTTAAGCTAGCTACTAGGGGTGTAACGATGTCCAAATCTCATGATACGATATCGTCACGGCATGAACCTCATGGTACAATATTTCTTGTGATATCATGGGAAAGCTCACAATATGGCGGGGAGGTTCACAATTAGGGATGTAATGTAACAATATTCAAATCTCTTGGTACAATATTTTCACGATATACATCTCAAAGTACGATATTTATTGCGATATTTTGTGAAGGCCAATATGCTACATTTTCCTGTTAAATTGCCTTGACAAGACTTAATCCAAAGAACTAAGACTTAAAAGTGCTTAGAACTGTTATTTCCTCTTGCACTCTACACTGAAATGGAGCAAAGGATCATGGTCTATATAGTTCCCTCTGTCTTTTTTTTTTTTAGCCATTGCTGCACCATAACTCTTAATTTAAGCAAAGAGACTTGTAATTTGATATATTGTGATGGTCCAAGATATTATAGTGAGAAGTTTGACGATATAGTATCACGATCTTTCGGTTATTGTTACATCCCTACCAGCTACTAGACCATAGTACCTCAATAATAATCTTGAACAGTCAGAAACCTTTGACTATGAAAAGCACCATCATGCCACGGTCTTAGAACAAAAATACAAAACAATGTGACTTCAAGTTCACGAATACTGTGAGTGACATAACAGTACTCACCTGTAGCTCACACCAGGCCACCTCCACCCATGTCTCCGTATCAAAGCCCTTGTAGACCGTCTTGAAGGACCCTCTGCCCAACTCGATGTCAAACTTAAGAAAGCGTCCTCCTGGAGATGTGGACACTGCCTTCATCTCTGCCTCCTCTTCGTTGTCCTCGCTGGCTGACTTCACCGCCGTCTTACCACCGTCTTGGCACATCACGTTTGACACCTCTCCACCTTTGTCCTTATCCTCATCTGCACTGGCACTCTCTGTGGCACTGTCCTTTTGCCCACATTGGCTCTCAGTGCTGGAACCTTCTTGAATCCCCAAACTAGCACTCCTACTCCTGTCCACAATTGTTCGCAAGTTAATGTTGAGTAACTTATTCTTTTTGTCACATTCAGGGGCCTCAAAAGCATGTTCTTCCACATCGGCAAACCATAAATTTCTTCTAATAAATCTTTGATGGACATTTTTCTGAAAACTAGACAAAGGGAAGGCATTAGAGTCCCTGCCATCTTTCGTGTCTTTGTTAATATCAGATTCACCACGGGAGTTTGGTACAGAGGGGCGTTTCTGGTGCAGGTCAGAGTTCACGCTACCATTTACATCCATGGTTTAACAAAAGATCCACTTGAACGCTTGGATTTCAGCGCACGAGGGTCTGTACACTTTCAAATGGGGGAAATCTATAGGGGAGTTCTTGCAGTGCCCACTCGGTGACGCAGTTTGTCAGAGGAAGCCCCCAAAAGCGTCAGGATGGATAGCACTGCCGAATATTCAGGTAAAAGACCCATGAGCTGAAAAATAACAAAACAGTAGAAATAAACAACACTTTCAATACAGATTTAAACATTATGATCAAATGCTTTCTAGAATTGCTGTCAGAAATGCTATGAAAGAGAACGGTTCGTGGTGTTAGGTGGTTTGTGCCAAGGCCCACACATGCTGGCAACACATAATAATTAAGAATATGGGTGGCTGTGGAGTGTTTTATAAATTACTTCCTTGCATTAATTATTTTTAAGTGAGACCAATAGGCTCATATAGTAATAAAACCATAAAGGCAGGGGTTCTAAATTGGCAATAGTGTCATTTGATATGTCTTGCCAAAATGTGATGATTATTAAATAGGCTATAAATCTAAATAAGGTCAGATTCATGCATAAAAACAAGAACTGTTAGTGACTACAAAATGGTGTGTCAAACTGTAACATCCACACAAGTATACTAAATAAGAATCATCATTTCTTGTGTACCAAGGCAATTATTTTAGTCATTTACGCATTTTGATACCAAAACGACATGAATCCACACTTACCCATTACAAAGCCACGAGCGCAGGGAGGGATACCACACAGCAAAAGTCACGCTAGCGATCCACGTTTTGCAGACCTGTCGTGTCCAGTTCAGTGTCCAGTTCAGTAGCGTTACTAGAAAAGCGTTTGTTTAGATTAGCAGGGTTTCCACTGCATAATGTGGACGTAAAAACGCCCTATCTACAAATGCGCCTCATTATGAAAAGAGTGGTCATAATCCTACTCAAATCGGGTCAAACGAAGTGAAAAATCCCATAAGAAATTACAAAGTAGGCTATTTATCTCCGTGTACGTGCGTGCATCTCTAGTCGGCGGCTGCAGATCCGCGCTGTTCCTCTGTAGGCACCAACACCGTGACTGATCAGTGCGCATTTACCAGTATGGCCGCTTTAAGAGACAGAAATGCTGAGTTTTCCCGTGGCCCTGTTGGATAGTAATTTGCCAGAACAACAGTTTTGAGCGGTCATCGTTGCAGCACGTTAGGCAGATAGACCAGTGTGGCACTCAAACGCGCTCCCATTCACTTCACTGCTGAGATCCACGCCCCTGGAAAAGACCGGAGAGCGCGGCCAATCAAACCGCACGTCTGCACTCGCCTCGGAGCCTCGGAGCCTCGGAGCCTTCTTATACATCAGCTGCAACGGTGACACATAACATCATATTGTTTTTTTTGTAAATTGCGCTTTTATTTAACACGGAGTGGTTCACAAATTGCGGTACGGGCCTTTTTGTGGTTGTTCCTTGAAAATAGCCTATTCTGCTGTTCTCTCTGTTTTTATTTATTTATATTTTTTATTTAAAATTGAGATTAAGTTTATTGATCTTCAGTTTATGAACACTACTTCATTCTACACCAAATTTAGTCTGGTTTTAAACCTTGCATACTTAGTGTACTTCTCTCAAACACTGTGTTCCACCTTGTGATGTCATGTGGTAATACAGGAAGTGCTCCACTGTGTTTTTAAACTCCAAATACCTTCACTAGAATCAGCCCTGGAATTGCAGATCTTTCTACTAAACAAAAGGTAAAAGGTAGCTGTTAACTTGAAAACTACCACTACATGACATCACAAGGTAGAACGGAGCATTTTGCGTTTTGGAAATGTAAACAGACTAATAATAGCCTAAAGGGTCACTCAGACGTGTGTGAATCAAACAAAAATGACTCTAGGAATGTTTTTGAGCTCACAAAAAAGCTCACATGAGTCAATTTTGTGTAATATTGGACCGTTAAACAATTATTAATTATTTGTGAAAGGGCTTGGCTCTCCACAGAGCTGACCTGTCACCTGCTTGTATCTTGTTGTATTCTGAGTTTATTAGACATTATTTGTCAACAGTTACTGAGAAAATATAAAATGTCACATGCCTTTATTGTCATTGTCATAGAGAAAATAAAGAACAAAATACGGATCTCATAACACGTGTACTGTGAAGAACATTTTGGTAACACATGTTAAAGCACCAATAACTGCTTAAAAGACTATAGCCTACATTTTAGATAACATGATACTCCAACAGGGATGTGGTTCTTGCCTGGGTTAAGAAACAATAGAACAAAGGAAGTATAAAATGTCATGGAGACCTACTGTACATGACCTACATGAATGATCTATGCTTGTGCCTCTGTATATAATAGTGTATATAGTACAGATTTTGATTTTTGGGACTTGCACAAAATACACACTGGCTTGTTACTCCCTTTTAAATAAAATTTCATCCACACATCCCAAACCTGCCACAAACCAATTGAATGTTAATTGTTTTATATACTGATCGACTTTGACATTTGATAAGCAATTACTAGGCACTGCACTTGTGTTTTACAAGATGACGCTTCACTATATCATCCCCATAGCTCTGTTATAATGGAATCATTTAATTTGACATAGATTCTTACATCTGTTGGAGAGGAAGCATGAGGAGGAAGAGAGGAGAACAGTTCAGACACAGAGACTTCCTGGTCTTTGTCAATAGTGGGCCAAATAAAGACACAATTTAATGCGGCCACGATCAATAAAACAAGCTCCACTTTACAGCTTACTCACACATGAATGAATGCATATAAGGAGAAAGTTCAGGCAGTAAGCATAAACTTAAAGGTGCAACGTGCAACTTTTTCTGATGAGGGTCCACCACTCCAGCTCTCCACGAATATGGTATTGTATTGCCTGGAATATTCCACTATAAGGCTTTTTTTTTTTTTAATAATTGGTATTTTTACTACTTCTATATTATGTAAAATTGACTCTGGAGTTGTGTTTTGTTGCATTCACACATGTCTGAGTAATCCTTTATTATTAGTCTGTTTACATCTCCAAAGCTCAAAATGGTCTATTCCACCTTGTGATGTCATGAAGTTTGCAGGTTTACAGTTCCCTTTAGCTTTAGTTCAGTAGAGACAGATAATTCCAGGACTGAAAATATCCAAATGATTCTAGTGAAAGTGTAGTTTAAAAATACAGTGGCACTGTTACCATGTGACATCACAAGGTGGAACAGGACGTTTCCTGAGAGAAGAACTAAATATACAGGGTTTGTGTGTTAAACGTGTGAATGGATGAAACAAAACTTTCCAGGTATGTTTGTGATAAGAAAACAACATTACACATGGGAAGATGAATAATTGCAAATATCTGGAAAGCAGTGTCTCCTCTCCACAGATCTGATATGTAACTTGGCCGGTACATGTCAGCTGCTGGTTTAATCTCCCTGAAGACAAGCAGGAGACAGACCCTCCACCAGAAAAGTTCCATAGTATATTATAAAACTCACAAAAGCATACTTATTTACTCTATTTCTATAATTTTGTCTACACTGTGAGAGGGTATTTCAGTAGTAGTGATAATTATAACACACTGTACATAGTTATTTGAACTGATGCCACTGCTATTTTAAATGTATTCCTACTATTATTTTTAAGTCTTGTGTTTCAGTATTACTGAAATGACACTTTGGATATTTTTTTGAATATGGGATCTATCATGGAGTGAAAGAACAGTGTTTGCTTTGCTCAGTGCAACGCTGTAAAACTAAAAGCCCTACAGAGAATGCTCTAAATTAGATTTAACGTTGGGTCGATCCCATCTGGAGGAGGGCCAGCTGTGAGGGAGAGAGACACTGAGGAAGAGCTGAGAGAGAAAAGAGAAGAAGAGAGAAGAGAGGACAAGAGAGAGAGAGAAAGTGCACGAGAGAGAGAAAGGAAAGCAAGAGAGGAAGAGAGGGAGAAAAAGAGAGAGACTGAGGAAAACCTGTGAATGAGAGAGAGAGAGAGAGTGAGAAAAAATAGAGGAAAAGAGAAAGAGAGGAGGTGAAAAAGAGAGTGAGGGGGAGAAAGGGAGGAAGAGAGAGAAGAGAGTGCTGCTGATGATGTTACATGATGGAACGGAGTCAAAGAAGTGCTGATGTCTGAGGACGAGATGGAGGAAGGGCTGTGCACTTGACTTAATGTGGGGTTTTCATCAAGTTATGACCATAACATTATGACCACTGCGGTGAAGAACGCAGGTTATGTCTTCATCATGACACTTATAGAAAAATGGGAGCAACTGGCCCAAATTTACTTCATCTACAGACAAGTGGCTCAGAGCATCTTCAAATTTCATTATATGTGTTTAGTGTAAACTGATGACAGCTTCCTCAAATAATGTGTCCTAAACTGAGATACTTGATTATACTCAGAACACTGCACTGAGAATGTGGATTAAAATCAAAGTCAAATTAGCTCTTTTTTTGGACTGAAGCCAATAACTTTATTCAAACCTAAAAAGCAGCTAAAGTGGATTTTATGGTTCATTTGAGATTTAGGTATTCCCATAAGTAAAAGTGAATTGCTCTGTTTTTAACGCTACATAAGAGACCATCTTAAATCACATCTTAAATCACACATTATCCGCTCAATGGGCTCTTAACCTACTTCAGCTAAATTAAGTGACTGTCCCGTTCCCACACTCAAAGAGAGGACATGGTCTTCAAAGCCGCTTGGAAGTCAATAACACACATACATGTCTGTGTGCAGCTGAAGGAAGAATGGCTCATCACTCAAATTCAACTGGAAGCACATTTGTAGTCATTCCAGTCTTTAGTTGCGAACTTATCTCTGATCATTTTCAAGAGTCACAGGTGACTGCATGTGTCCCTGTCATCACAAGTATAATGTATTCAATATTTATAAGATCAAGTTTGACATGTGGCGTCCCACATGTTATTAATTCAAATATCCTTCAAATTAATAAGTCTGAATACTTCATCAATACTTTTTTCTAACGGGTTTCCTGTTTAAGTGACTTGTATTAGCTCTACTGAATGTTTTGTGTCTCAGATACTGTTACTTCCTTGTGAGACAAACCAGAGCGTGGATTTGAGAGGAGCACCTCTTCTTTGTGTTTTTGGAGCCGTTCTCAAACATTTGATCGGAGTGGACAGCAGGGAGTTTGTTGACTGAAGTGTTATGTGACAGCTCTCTGAGTGGGTGGTCTCTAGTACTGGCCTAATATCACACTAGTAATTGTCTTCCGTTCTTTTTCTTATTCTTATTATCATTTATTGGCACATAAAAATATATTCAAAACTGAATTACAGGAGTTGAATGACCTAAATCATGTTTTACTGAAAAAATAGTTTGATACAAGTGCAGCTCAAACTCTAACCACATAAAAATATATATGTATGAATGTGATCATTTGTGAAGCACACATACTGCAGGAATGTAGTTAACATCTTGCAGATGAAGTCAGTGTTCTCACACTTTCAAACTGAGATGGACTTTTAAAATCTTGGAACATGTCTTAGCATTACCCTGTTAAATAACTTTACTTTACCTTAGTTTAGACATTTTCCAATAGTTCCAGTTTAACATACTTGTTCTCCCAGAATGCCCTTGCCATTGCAGTATACTCATTTTGTACAACATAATTGAGCTCCGCAGTAAATTAGAGGGTGTTAGCATGTTCTGTTCTTCTGTTTTGTGTGTGGTTAAAGGGGCGAGTGATGCAGATGTACCAAACCTCCAGCAGAGATAAGAAAACAGAGCAGGGCTGATTACTGCAGGATAGACAAATAAGCATTGGCCTTGGCTCAACTGAAGATTTTGTGAGGAAATTCATGTAGACAGTGGAAACAAGCCACTGAAAAGTTGCTTGACCAGCCAGTCCCTTGAACATTCTGTTCAAATCTAGAAGGGTCTGGAATTAAACCAGAGCGTGAAAAACCTCCATCCAAACTTGAGATGATCCAACCACAGAAGGTATTTTGTAGCACGTCACTCAAATTCGGTATATATGTCCTCTTGAAAATATATAACTTATTTTACCTGAAATAAGTTATAGTTGATGCTATTGATGAGTTCATTCTGAGAAAACCCATGTTGTTTTACGGCTCCAGATCCACTTGTCTTTGTGAAGTTTTGTCAAAGTGTGTGGTTCTGGCTGGTCAACTTGACTTGCTTTAATAGGTCACCCTGCACTGTGAACAGGTGTACCGAATATTCTGGTTGGTGTTCTAGTTTTACTTTTCAGTGTTTGGTGTGTGTGTTC